AATGTTTTGGTTTTCTTGGTTTGGCAGAGAAGGGTGCTTCAACTCCAGAAGATGCTATTACATAGCACTATTGGTTATCTACATGCATTCATCTTCAAAAACAATGCATCCACCACTATTGAGTCTTAAAAGATGTGGGAAGAATCAATGTGTTTAAGACCATATTAGCAGATGCCTGCTGCATGGTTGGGAGGAACATGAGAAAAATGTGAAGGGAACATCTGAAAGCTGCTATCAAAGGCCTTGTAAGAATTTAAGCAGGTGTCTGATCATCTATGAGTGTGCGATATTCATTAATAAGAATGGTCAGGCTGAGCTCTGGAGTGATCTCAGTTGCCTCTGGCTCTTGGGGCTACACTGATTCTTTTTTCTTTCTTTTTTTTTTTTTTTTTTGAAAAGACCTGGCTTTGTGCAATCAGTTAGACCTCTAGTCCAGACCCAGCCCTGCCTTGGCAAAGCAGCTGATGGAGGATCCAGATGGGACAATCATATCCTCTCCTATCACACCTCAGTAATGGAAAGCATGAGCAGGTGAACAACAGCTGGGCCCTCTTTCCATTTTAGCCGTTTTCTGATAAGGCTGATAAGGCTGTCACTGCTCTTAGGCCTCTGGAAGTTTCTAAAAACTATTCTTTAGCCTCTTGATTATTTGAGTCTCTGTCTTTCCAACCTTTTCTCTGCATGAGTGGGGCATACTAAGAGACACTCTGCCCAGTGGAACCCAGGAAGCCTGACAGCTAATTTACAGGGGAGCTAAGTTTTGAAGTGAAGCATAAATTTTGTCACTCCATTTTTATTTTTAAATTTTCATCCAGTTTGTTTTCCTACCAGTTTCTGGTCCTGTTAATAAAGATTGCCTTCTTAACTGTTGTTATACAAGTTTTTCCTTATGCATTCTAAATTAATTAAAAGTTCAATACTATAAGTAAAAAGAAAGCCAAAATGAGGCAGGCAGGCAGGCAGACAGACAGACAGACAGACAGACACACACACACACACACACACACACACACACACACACACACACACACACACATTTGAAACACATTTGTTCAAATATAACCCTACAGAGAAAGCCCTGCAGATATATGAAGTCAAATCACAGAGCTAGGGGACATTAAATTGTATATAGGGTATTACTAATACAAAAATAAGAAAATAATATAAATTAAACAATAGTGTAGCAAACATGATGGTATTATAGGAACAGTTCCTATAACATTTATTACTTCATAAAAGATACAAGTCCAAAGTCTATTCAGTAAACATTATTAGTACCATGGTAAGACACTTGGTAAGCTATTGGCTAGATCATCACTTTGTACATTTCAAAAAAATTAAGTTTCAGAGGATTAAATACCAAAACACTGCCTGTAACACAAATGTAAAAGACACAAATTATAACTAAAAGAGAAAAAAAGTTGGTACCTGATCACAATGAACAATATATAATATTTAAGAAATATGAAATAATTAAACAAGATAAAAATAAGTTCTTTCTATTTGAAGTTAGGAACACCCCCCAACACACACACACACACACACACACACACACACACAATGAGAAAATGAACCTAGTTTATATTTCATTGTGCTGGCTAGTTTTATGTCAACTTGACACAAGCCAGATTCATCAGAGAGTAGAGAGCTGCACTGAGAAAATGTTTCTGAAAGATCAAACTGTTGGCATTTTCTAAATTAATGAGTGATGTTGGGGAGGATCCAGCCCATCCTGGGTGGGGCCATTCCTGTACTGGTGGTTCTGCGTTTTATTAGAAAGCAGGATAACAAGCCAGTAAACTGCACTCTTCCATGGACTCAGCAACATTTCTTTCTCTAGGTTCCTGTCCTGTCTTGACTTCTCCAAGGATAAGCAGTTATGGGAAGTATAAACCAAATAAATCCTTTTCTACTCAATTTGCTTTTGGCCATAATATTTCATTACAGCAACAGTAACCCTAATGAAGACATCTATAATAGAAAACAACAGGAATGAAAACTATGTACATTTATATAATATATATTATGTAATATTATGCAAAATTTTAAAGCTGACCAAGAATTTAGTAATAACATAGAGGTGCATAGTATTAAATAAAATAGATTTTAAAATATTCATAATGCAAGCTAACTTTACAATATCACATTTTCTGGGGAGTCACCCAAAGACTGTTAGGAATTCAGTGACAACATAATTCTCATGTATTATGTAATGCCAGGAAGATATATTTTTAAAATGCTGATTTATCTTTTATTGTCTCAAAGATGGGTTTTGATTAGCAATGTTTCTTCTTTATGTGCTTGCTACATTTTTTCCTTTGTTCCATATGGGTTGAATTGTATCAGCCAATACAGTAAACCTCCTCTGTAATATATGCTCTAAGCCATTCTGTTTCCCTGGGGAACCCTGGCTAATACAGGTTGATAAGGCCGTATTGGACAGAATGGTTTCTTTGGTCAATTGTTGCACTCTCTGGTATGAATAAACCTTATTGTACATTTTCCCAGGAAACAGAGCTCAACAAGTTCTTTGTTCCAGAATGTAAGTCTGGATGAAAGTCAAGTTACGGGGTAGCTTCTGTTAATCCACTAAAGTGGGTAATTACAAGAAATGCTTTATAAACCAGCAGGAGATGGAGAACTCACTCTAATAAGTTCAGTACATAAAATTTCACACATGGATGCAGGATTTCTTAGAAAACAGAACCCAGCTGGAAGCTTGGCAGAGGCATTTGTTTGACAAGGGTCCTTAACTTTACTCTTTCCTAATAGATTCCTGGAGTCTCCATTTGAGATTAAACTGTGGATAGCCAAGAAGGCTATAAAAAGATCAACAGAAAATATTAAGAATGTTCTTTTTGGAGTCACACATTCTTTTAGCCAAAATATGTGTTGACAGCCTAATGGATTTTCAATGGGTTAAAAAATGAGTAACTAAGATGACAAGTACATCAACCTATGGGGTTCAACATGGTTCTGGCTTCCTATGTATTTTTCTGCTAATGCTATTCATACAAGGAAGTCAAACATGAGCAGTGATGCAAATACTACCTTGGAGAGGTCTATGTGGAGGTCTCTCTTCCATCCTGGTCAACCCTGACAACTAATGTTCAGTAAAGTAGACCAAAACAAGAATGAAAGCCAAAACAAAAAATAAAAGAAATCCTTTGGCATACACATCAAGGCAAGAAAAACAGTAACAAAGTGAAGTTCACAAAAATAATCTTGAGCAGCAATAGGTAATTAGACTTAAGCAGAGCAAATGACTGTTATTTTACCTTTATTGTTTTGAAGCTTACATAGTAACCATCTACCATAAGAATAAAAACTACCATGCAGCAAACCAACATTTGCTATCACAAATACTTGGCAAAACTGGCCCAATTACAATACTTGTCACAGGCTCATGAAGTGAGGTGTGATTGGTTTACAACCCACACTAAGTGCTAAAGTTGAAACTTGAACTAAATGCTTATTATTGGAACTCAGTTTTCTTTCAACACAATATTATGCCAATTCCTCAGGGCAAACTTCCTGTATTCTAACTTATTCCAAATCAGTTCATGTACACTTTATTTTCTATAAATTAGTGATGATGAATAATCAGCAATGTAAATCACTAAGGAAGCAGCCAGAACAATGGTTCTCAAACCTCCTAATGCTGTGATCATTTAACACAGTTCCTCATGTTGTGTTGATCCCAACCTTAAATCGTTTCATTGCTAATTTACACCTGTAGTTTTGCTACTGTTATGAACTGTAATCTAAATGCCTGATATACAGAATATCATTTATGTGACTCCCATGGGGGTCACAACCCACAGGTGAAGAACCACTATGCTAGAGCTTATGTGCAGATCTCAGGAATGTCATTTGTGGTCTCTCAACATTCCAATGGAACAAATCATAACAAAATTCAATTTTAAAGTCAATATAGTATAGGAAAAAGAACCATTTCTAAGGTCTCTGAAGAAAATCCCTCAATAATTTTTACCCTTTGGATGAATCATGCATGTTTGGTTGTATATGTTGTATACTTTAGTAGAATCCGGGTGTTCCAAAAGCATCCATGGCCATCAAATTAAAGTTTTAAGATCAGGGTCCCAAATGCAAGTAGAGGATCATATGCCATGTATAACTTCAGATTCTCACAGAACTATAGAAAGATTAGCTCATATTTATTTATCAATGAAATATATAAAAATAATAAGCTTCCTTATACAACTTTCAGAATTATACTATTACTCTTCTTCTTTACAGTGAGGTAACAGTATCTTTTAGATTGACAATTAGAAATGTAACACAATATTTTTATATTTTAGCAACAAACAGATACATGTATTCAGGAATCCAAATGAAAATAACAGTTGCGAACTGGGACAAATAACATCTGTACCATGTTTTATTAGAGAAAATCTTTTGTATGATGAAAACCTTAGAACAGAAATCACCACACCTATGTGTTCACATGTTAGTAAATGTGGCTCCACTGAAATATATAAAGTTTCCAATCTTTACAACCCATTTCCTACTTTAAGTATGAATGTTCAAAACTCCCTTTACTTTAATATATAGGACTGAAATCACTGTGACAACTATGTCTACATCAAACGAACACAAGAATTGAATCGGAGATGAGTCTCAACTTCAGTATAACAAGCAAAAATTATTTGAATTCCTCCAAGTGTATTTTTTTCATACAACGTAGACATTACTTGTTTAAAGTAGGGTCTCATATAACACTCACATAGTTCTATGCAGCCAAGTATGACCTTGAAATTATCCTACCTCAACCTCCCAAGTGTTGAGATTACAGATATGTCACACATGTCAACATGGACCATTTTTTATTATTTTGGTGGCTAAATGTGGCCATTTTTTATTATTTTGGTGGCTAATTATTTTGGTGGCTTAACTATAATAAACTAAATGTATCTCATGGTAATTTAATTTATAATTGTCTCCTTTCAAAGTATATTTTAAAACCATAATAAACTTACCTTAGAGAGGCCACCTACTTCCAAATAAAAGCAGATGATGAACACATTCCATGTGATCCAGAGGGCAGTCCACACTGTATACTGGACAAGAAAAGAAGAGAGAGAGAGGGGGGGAGGGAGGGGGGAGGGAGGGAGGGAGGGAGGGAGGGGGAGAGAGAGAGAGAGAGAGAGAGAGAGAGAGAGAGAGAGAGAGAGAGAGAGGGAGGGAGAGAGAAAACCAAAGATGAAAAACACATATTGGAAATAAATCAGACTTGTCAGTAAATATAAATCCTCTGTGAGGAAATATGGTATAGTCAAGAAAAAAAAATCTCTTTCTTTTATGAGGTACTCTAAGATTTAAAAATTGAAAATCCAATGGTTCCCACTGTTTTTAATGGATATCTTGAAACTTAGATTTCTAAAATATTTTTCTGACTTGCACGCCCAACTTAAATGTGAGTGCTCATATGATTTCCATTTTCTGTGTATTATATTTTCTAAGGAACACAATTCTGCAGTTTTCTGTGAGCCATCAATATACCTGTCTATGTATTTATGTACTATGCATAATCTCTCATTCTTTCTATCTAGCCACCTACCCAAATATATCCAAATATTCAGATAGATTAGACAGATATTTAGTCCATTACTATAAATTGTCTAATTTTAGAAATTTAGTCACAATAGACCCTCCATATCTCTGAATGACAACCTGGAGAAAAGATATGTGGACTAAAGTTACCAAACTCCTCTCTCGTGTTATTTTACTAAGAGTAGAACTCATGCTCCAATAACCAAATAATCAGTGTGTAACCACATGAGATCTTTAATCCACTCTTGCTATTTAGCCTCTCGGGGTCTGCAGATCATAGCATGATTATCTTTTACTTTACAGCTAATATCCATTTATAAGTGAATACATACAGGAGGTATTAAGGGGTAATGCAAGGATGTTCCTGTGAGTTTCAAGGAGTGTAATGTGAAGGGTAACTGGAGGTAGGAACAGAAGGGATAAAGTGGGGTAAGGGATGGAGAAAATACTGGGAGAAAGGACTGGAAATCAGGTAGCATTCTGTACATAGACTCCTAGTAATGGGGTACACAAAACCTGAACTTGCCCTCTTCTGTAACCATGCAAAGCCTCAAGTGGAGGGGTTGGGACAACAAGCCAGTCATAAAACCATTGACCTACAGTGTGTTCTGCCAGCACAGTATTCTAATTCAGGAGCCCATCATCATCATAGAGACCAGAAAGACTTCATCCAGTTACCAATGGGAGCAGATGCAGAACTCACAGTCAAAAGTTAGGCAGAGCTCAGGGAGTCCTTTGGAAGAGGGGAGGCAGGAGCAGGTGAACAAGCAGGGTCAGGGATATCAAGAAAACATTTCCCACAGAATCAGCTGACTGGGACTCATGGTTGCTTGCACAGATCAGGAAGCCTATAGGTGTCTGACCTAGATCTCTGCATATATGTTATGACTGAGTAGCTAGGTGTTCTTGTGGGTCTCCTAACTGTGGGTGCAGAGACTGCCTCTGATATTTTCCTGTTTGTAAGATGCTTTTCCTCCTACTGGGTCATCTTTGTTGAGCTTTGATAGGATGGTATGTGCCTGGTATTATGGTAGCCTATTATGGCATGTTTGGTTGATGTCCGTTGGAAGGCTTGCTCTTTTCTGGGGGGGTGGGTGGAGTGGGAGACTCTGGGGGAGGGGAAGGAAAGGAAAGTACAGTTGGGAAGCAATATATGTGAGGAGAATAAAACAAACAAACAAACAAATAAATAAATGTCTTTAAAATCCCAGAAATTAATAACTAGGAGAATGAGCAAATGAACAAATTTCTATTATTAAAAAATACCTTTCATTCACATCCTGCTGGGAAAGGTCAGAAACAGTGTCAACAGAGCACTAGCCAATCTGATTTAGTGTAGTCCAGATTAGACTCTGGTAGAGTCTAGGTAACTGAAGGCAGTGTATGCTGTAAGCATGGTTGATTAAATATAATAGTTCGCATATTTATCTTAGTATACTGGAAAACAAATATATGAATTATTTCAATAGGCATATAAGTTAAGTCATTTATTTCTATGAATGTTTTTAATCATTGTATGCTGGTCTTAATATTTTGAAATTATTTTCCTTATATTATCCTATCTGTGTCAAATAATAGAAATATGAACTTTAGGTACTACCTTAACACCATGATCTTATCAAATGTTTACTAAAAGTGTTTTTCTGTAAGATTCAATTTATTGTGCCCTTTATGATTTTAAAGGTTTTAAAAATGATCTCATGTAGGAGTGTAAACTTAGGGATTGTATTTGATGTAACATTATTCTTTTCTCAGTGTGTTTTGCTTTTTAAAAACAGATAATGATTATTTCAAGCTTCACAGTCACTGTGAATTTACATTAAAACATATTAAAGAGGTCACACGAACAGTTAGTGGTAAGTTGTGACACTTTAGTTGTCTGTAGCTATTACCAAAGACATTCAAACATACTTTTTTGAATCATGCACTGTTCCCATGGATACTGAAAAGGACTTATCTACATCCTTAATGGGGTATTTTTATACATCACAAATAGAAAAATATAATCTAAGTGTTCTTCTAATCAGAGGACATCTAGCACGATGATGAATACTCTGAATTAAGTAAAAGTGTCTCAGGGTAGGCCAGCAAGGATGAACACCAAGTTCAGAAGAAGCCAGTGACAATGGTCAAGGAAAGGACTTCAACTGAAGCAAGAATAAGCCATGACAGAGGGGATTTTTGTTGTTATTTTTCCTATGCTGGGAACTAAAGAAGCCACTTGTAGACCCTAGGCTGGTTCTCTATCATAGGACCACATCCCAAGAAAAAACACATAGTTCTTAATCATTATAACCCAAATCAAAATCCTTAAGTACTGAGGATGTCCACAGTATAACAAAAGTAAAATAAAGCAAGCCCTTTACAAAAATCACAGCAAACAGTGCATTAAGGGAACTGAGGAGTTCCTGCAAGTTGTATTATAGGTTCTGTTTCTGACCTTTCAGAGATATTGATAGCAACTGTCTAGTTCTACGTGTGACTCTACCAAAGGTAATTATGACACTTGCTGTGTTCCTAGTATTGCACGAAGTTCTTTCCAATGGGCCTATCATTCAAGTCACCATATTAAACTCCCAAAGAATGGGTTATCCTTTGAGTCCTAAAAAGTGTTAGGGTTGTCCTATGAAGCCTGACAGCCTGCTCCAGATTTAGCACACTTATTTTAATAGGCTTTATTGCAAACCTCTTAGGAAAAGGGCTCTATCTGTAAATTTACTTTTCATTAAAATTTTTACCTCATCAGATAACAAATGAATCAAATGACCATTTTATTATAATTTGGTTAATTTATATAAGTTGTGTAAAGTGCTGTTTTGGGAATGACGGTATTTTTATATTTTGTGATTAATATGTCACATGTGGTAGACACATGACAGGTTTTTGTTTGGAGGGATAGAATGTTCTTTCTAATGGTTCCTTCAGTGTTCCTGGTTGAAAAAAATGACTTGATTATTGAATTTTGATTTTTGTGGAATATAAATGATCTGTTTCAATGTGTAGATGAGAGCCTTCATGAATCATAGATACAGAAGAGAACTTTAACAACCAATCCATGGGTGGACATTTACCTAGTCAGAGACACTAAGTCATCACCTTTGAGACTGGCTATCCTCTCTACCATGTCTTTGAGAAGTGGGTTGTTTTACCTAACAATTCAGTTGTCATGGTATTTACAGCACAAGATGACCTCCTGCTTTTGACAAGTAACTCTTTGTTAGAATGGAGCATGGCAACAGGCTTACATATGTATGCATTTCAGATAGAATTGAATTATAAATGACTTGATTTCTCCACGTTAAAATTAACCATGCGTAGCCTCTCCCTCCTGAAACTCAGTACACATATTTGAAGTTCTACTCCCATAGATAATGAGTACATGGGTTTGTGTGATTTCATAAGCATTTCCTCATCTTATGAGGATATTTCAACACTTGGTAATTCAAATAAACATTTTATAAGTTTCCTAGTTTACATTTCCACCACAGAGTATTAAGTTTTTTTATTAATTTATTTTTCAATTTTTATTTTACATATGGATCCCAGTTCCCTCTCCCTCCCTCTTTCCTTCTCTCCCACCCTCTCATGCCCTTGACCACCCTCCCCTCCCATCCCCCCACCACTACACAAGTAGGGTGATGCCCTCCAGGAGGGGCCATCTAAATCTGTCAAGTCATTTGGAGTAGGGACTAGGACTTCTCTCCTGTCTCTAAGTTAAGAGAGTATCCCTCCATGGGGGATGTGCCTCCAAAGTCCTTTTGTGCACCAGGAATACATCCTGGTTCCACTGCCTGAGGTCATAGACTGCTCAGTCCTTCTGGCTGAGACCCATGTTCAGGGGATCTGAGTCAGTTCCATGCTGGATTCCCAGCTATCAGTCTGGGGGCCCGTTAGCTCCTCCTTGTTCAGGTAAGCTGTCTCTATGTGTTTCTGCAGCCTGGTCTTGTCCTTCCTCTCTGCATCTGGATTCCAGTTCTTCTCAGTGTTTAGTTGTGGTTGTTTGCTTCTGTTTCCATCAGCTACTAGATGAAGACTCCATGGTGGATAAGTTAGTCCTCAATCTCATTATCAGGGAAGGGTCTTTAATGTGAATTATTTTTACTGACGCAATTGATGCCTCATTGTTTCCTATATGTGTGAATTTACCACAATATTGGCTGACAATATGCTATGAAACAAATGAGATAGATTACTTGCTTTTCTATTTTCTGCTCTCTCCTGGAATTCAGCATTTTTGTGAGCAGAACTTTCAGGGAAATCTGCCATCCCTGTACCTTGTTAGTAAGGAAGGTAGCGTGAAGGCAGATATAGAGTAATGAATAGTTAATAGTTGACCATGTATCAAGATTTGGTCTAGGTTAGGCCAGGTCAAGCCTGCCACTTACATTCTGATTGCTAAACCAATCTATGTATGAATAGGATTATATAAAGGAGGTAAATACAGCAATTATAAAAGCAAATAAATGTTCCAAGGCTTCAGAGTCAGTAAAGTCACTTCATCTAAAAGCCTTGAATTCATTTACTGTTTCTTCATCACACATTAAGCTTGAGGTAGAACCCAGCATGGGGTGGCTACAATTCTGATCTCAGGAGAACATGCTGAGTATACTGTGGAAGTCAGAGGCTGTAACAAATAAGAAGGCAAAGTAGGAAGTGATCAGAATCTGTGCTAATAGTCAGGACTAGGCACATAGTATAGAGCTGGTTTTTACTAAGTAACAGCTTAGCTGAAGGATTATGAATTTTCCAAGAGTGGAAGGTTCAGATTGTGCCTCAGAGGAGGCAGAAGCATGTGGCCTAGAGAAAACTGGAGATAGTGGAGAGGGGGCAAAAGGCCTAAGAAAGCAGAAAAACAATTTTCTCCAGTTGAAATTCATACCTTGTTTGGAGAACTTCTTCTGCATAGCCATTTAGCTAAACCATGTTTCTAAGGGTGGCTAATTCTTTGAGGTCAAGTATGGCAACCCCCATGCATTGTCAGGAGTGGCAGTGATTTAACCCCTGTGTTGCTATGCTTTGAGCTCCATTAAATTGTTGGAGCGGCAGACGTTATATTTTATTATTTCAGAGTAAGCACTTAGCACATTACCTGTTGCTCCAAAGCATTTCTTAGTTTGAAGTGGATTAAGTTAGTTAGCACGTAAAAGGAGGGAGTCACATAGAATTGCAATGTGACTTCAAGATAAAACCTCTTGCAATCTAAATGTTGAACTGCAACCTTGCATCAACTATACTGTGTGATAAAAGGCAGGACTACAGTGAATCATGATGTCTGATGAGGGACTGGAAGAGTCAGGCTCCCTGAAGAAGTATTTGGGGGCTGACACCCGCCCTGTGAATCCCCAGAGATGAGGAATTGAAAGGATTTCTGGTTTGGAATCATCACAGAACACCTACAAGTTCAAAGCCTTAGCTCCCATTCCTTCATTAAACATGTAGAGAATATTATGCTTTAGTAGGGCTAGGTGACAAAGAAAAAATGCAAAGATTAAAAAGTGTTTCATCTTCCTAGGAGGTCTCCACCATAGAAAGGAGTTCAGGGGAGTAAATTCCAGGGTTCCAGAAGTGAAATGCTGTGAACGTGGAGTGAGAACAGCTGGGCAGTGGCCAGGCAAATATTTAAACAGGGGAAGGGGGTTGGAGTAGCCAGTGATTGGACACCTTAGCTCAAGTGCCCTCAGCGCCTGCCTGCCTTTCCAGCCTTTTCCCCTGAGAACTATGGCAGGTATCCATGGCCCAGCTCAGCATTCCCTTGGGCATGGTTTAATCATTCATCACTCTGCTCCTTTGTTTCTGTGTCATGAGCATGATTAATAATTTGTTCACATGCAAATCTTACTTACTAGGCAGACTCTGAGAACAGCCAGTGTCACGGAGCTCCTGGGCATATGTATTCCGTTTCCTCACTCTTACACCACATCAGTCCACAAGGTTCCCTTGGGAGTTACTGGCTTTGCTTCTCTTTCTATTTCTGTTTTTTTCCCCTTTGGCTTTGCTTTTCTGTCTCCCTTCTAACTTTCATGTCAAGAAAAGGAATCTTCAGAGCTGGAAACATCTTTAAAGATAAATACCTACATGACAAACACTTCATATTTTTGTTTTCATCATTGTCTCTTTTAATGTGTTGTGTCATTCTTTTTTATTTTATTTTATTTTACTTACAATCCTACAAGATTCCTAGGGAAGTAGAAGAAATAAAGCAAGGAATTGATAGGAAAGCAAGATCTCCATGCCAACTCCTTCACTTGACTTAATCTTTCCAGGAACCCTGTGTAGTCTGTTGTAGTATCCTAATTTATAGGAGAGGAGGGGTTGGTTAACTGCTTAAGTGACTTGCTCAGGAAAGCCAGCATGGAACAGGAGAGCCAGATGCATATTGGTTCCATTTCTCTTATTACCTTCCTGAAATTTCATCACCAGATCCTAGACCTTAAATGGTCCTTGGTGTAAGTGTGGACCTTGGAACTAGTCCTGCTCTGTTTCCCAGCCAATCACACTGCCTATGAGGAACTCCAAATTCCAACAAGGTAACAAATTGCCTATGACAGCAAGTGTAATTGTCAATGTGGCATAAGTTATAAGCAACTTGGAAGAGAGTTTCCATGGAGGATTGTCTACATTAGCTAACTGTCTGTTGGTGTCTGTCTTGATTACATAAATTGATTTGAAAAGACTCATCCTAAAGGTGGCTGCCCCCATCCCTGGGATTTAGTCCCAGACCTTATAAAAAGGAGAAAGTGGTTTGAGCACATGCATGTCTTAATTGACTGTTGCCTCCTCTAGACCACAGCTGTTCCTATTTCTCATTCGTATCACCTTGATTCCCAGCAATGATGGATTATAACATGGAATTGTGAGTTAAAATAAACCCTCCACCCCCTAAGTTGATTTTGCCACTATACTTTTGTCACAGAAAAAGAGGCTTAGATGTTTCCTATTTGAGACAAATGCATAAAGAATCACAAACATGAGATGTCTGTTCACAAAGGTTCCTGTCATGGAGACTATATGTTACTGCTGAGGAGGCTCACTGTACTACTGAAACTGTGTGCTAGCTTGTTTTATGGCACACAAGTCAACTGTCTCCAAGTTTGTTTGCTTGCTTGTTTTCAGTGGATACTTTCTCTTGACCCTACAATTAGTGATATGAAATTAATTATTGTGTTAAAAATGATGGAAAAGGGCTATGTTACATATCACATGAGTGATTCAAGAGACAACATCTTTTTGGGGCCACAGGAGGAGACCTGAATCTGAAAGCTAAAGACACCTCCATTGTGAAGTTTGAGAGGGAAGGAGGATCAAGGACATGGCATTTATGCTCCACTTATAACACCAAGTCTGAAACTAAAGGCTTCTGGTATGAGAGGAAGGGAGGCCAAGACTGTTATTTATGCTCCACATGTAATAAGATGTCAGACTTTTAATTAAGAGCAAATGACAGACATTTTGAATGAATGGATGTATAGATAAAATAATGGAGGGAGTTAGGAGAGATGGGTAGAAAGAATGAAGGAAGTTAAGGGGAGAGGAAATGAAAGAGGAAGTAAGAGAAGATGGGAGTGACTGTGAAACATAAATTTGGTCTGATTAGTGAGATTCTTGATCTTATGATAGATTTAGTCAATGATTTAGGAAAGTGCAAACCACTCACTGAGAAAGACAAAGGCTGGACACGCACAGGCAACTCCATATATATAGAAGAAAGACAGCAGACACTTCAACCAAGCAGTGGTTATGGTGACAAGACATAATACTAACATTTAGAGGACAAAATTAGATAACATCTCCAGCACATAACCACAGCCTCATTCTATACATACCCTTGACTTTGGATCCTTGGTAGAATAGCAATAGCAAAAACTAAAGCCTCTTGAGACTGCTTCTATTTAAATTTCAATATTAACTTGATATTATAAAGACAGGAAAGCATCTTATGCCATATTCCATATCTAGGGCATCTCTTTTCAGTAAATAATATAGTAGCTCAGATAATAATCAAAAGTAGAGGAGAAATTGCTTAGCCCCACAGCGAAGTGAGGGGCATCAAATGCTCTTCATTCCTAATATTTCACAGAATATTTCTAATTTTTAGGCCCAATGGCCATCTTAGAGGATGCTACTCTTATTTATAATTACTTACATTATTATAACTCATTACATCCCACAAATCTCCTATAGAAGTAGCTTATATTTCTGTGTTATTTTTATAGGAAGGACAACTAAGTGCTGTGAATGCCATCCATTAAATGTTGGCTACCGTGTACCCCTTCAGTGCCCTACAACAGAATCAGCTGACCGTGTGTGTCATACTCTGCAAGATAGACAATGTTTGAAGTGTATATGAAGTGTATATATCTTGACAAGAAATATATGTCCAATTTTAACAGACAGAAACATAAAATATGAGAATATATTAAACACAGATATGTTCATGCAGTTAGAACACCCTAAGTTAACCTTGAAGTCAGTTATGCTATGACTAACACTGTCCTCAGACTTACAGACATGGCTTTTCTCAGGATGAGGCTTTCTTCATATGGTCTGTTCCATAGATAGATATTTACTGTACAATTGAGCATTCCAGATATAGAAGAGCAATACCACTGTCATATCAGAAAGGTCCACAAATTATGTTATTCATTTTCTTACCAAAACTTCATAGTGTTTATATCAAGAGACATGATAGTAACACTTACCACCATGATGTAACGTGGTCTGTATTGAATGGTTCCAAATAAACCCAATATGACAACTATTATATGCAGGAAGTTTCCAAGAATGGGTGCCCACTGGAAGCCAAGGAAGTCGAAGATCTGCCTCTCCAGGGCTGAAAGCTATAAGAAAACAAAAGTAGTTCATTAGTGGGTGATCCAGACTCCATTACACCATTTTCATCATTTACTCCCAGTTACCAGAATCTGCATATTCAATTGCAATCATGCTTGTAGAATTTTTCCCCTCTTTCTTTTCTCCCTCCTCTCTTCCTTTCTTTTATGTGATCAAGCTGAGAGGTCATGTGTTGTGGAATAGAGTGTTTGTTTGTTGCAAAATTGTTGTTTGACTATGTAAAGATGTGTTGCTGTTTCACCTTGTCTGCCTAAGAAACCTGATTGATCTAATAAAAAGTAGAAGGGCCAATAGCTAGGGAGAGGGGAGCGGGTTGGCAGGGCTGGCAGGCAAAGCGCAAAGGGGAACCTTCTAGCCAGACATGGATGGACAGCAAGTAGGTGAGGTAATCAAGCCTCAGGGCAGCACAGAGTGTGATAGAAATGGGTTAGTTTAAGGTGAACATATCTAGCTAGAAACAAGCCTAAGCTAAGACCAGGCATTTCTAATTATCCATGTAGTTTTCCTCAGAAAATATTGTAAAATAACTTTGAATTTTCTGATTCAAGTATGCATTTTAAACCTATCCCAGATTGTGATATAGATATACACACTTCTTAAATTATTGTCTACAGAAAAAAAATTCTAGGCATAGGATGTGCCTTAAATAAATCACTATTTTCAAGCAAGTGGTTAGTTTAGTACAACATACTTAAGAACACTAGCTTCAGGTTTGCAATAAAACAACTGGTATTGAATTGGAACAAAGCAAAACAAACAGTTAACTTCCTGTATGACTTATATATAAACAATTACGGTTTGTATAGGAAGAATACCCCCAAAGCTTGTTGCCCATTCAACATTGTCAGAGATGGGCAATTGGTAGGTGAAGTGAGTTCACCTGGACTGTGGACTAATTTCATGATTTAATGGATTATTTGGAAACTATAAGGGCGAGTTAATACTGGAGCAAGTAGGTCATTGGGGGATATAATTTTGATATATACATTTTGTCTGCCCTCTTTGGTTCTTTGCTGCCTTGATGTGGTCAGCTCCATACCATAGTGCTTAGTCTTGTCAGAGGCCTGAGCAAGAACCAATTGGTCACGGACTACAGCATTCAAAGGTATGAGCAAAACAAAGCTTTCTTCCTTTAGCTGATTTTTTTTGTGGGGCGGAGGATTTTATTACAATGACAGAAAGAATAGCTCCTATATTATATTGAATCTATTTGCTTTCTTTTATCTTTGGGGCATAGACATTGATGCCAGATAAACACTTTCTCAATATGATTCCTAGTTATTTAGTTAAACTAAGACTATGAACCTAATGCAAAACTGGAATGAAAGGGTTCTTTGAACCTTTGCTAAATTATACACTAATGTTCAGATTAGGTAAAATCCTTCCTTGTTGAATACCCTAATAAAAATTATGGTACCATAACAATTTTAGAAATGCCATAGAAAATTATGTTTGCATTATACAAAATTACATTTTAAAGCAATTTTCCAATGAGTCAAACTACATACTTAACAATTGATTATCAAACAGTGAATTTTAGAGAGTCCAGTGAACACAGGCAATATCATTACCACATACAAATGGTACTTCTTGTATTTTAAATCTAGAAATTTTATAGTCCCACCTGCCATATTTGGACACTAATCTTATGTGATGGGGATCATTTTCTAGATTTCATTTGATAAAATAGTAATTCTAATAAAATGAGTCGGCAATTAGCCATATTGATAGCAGTAGAAAGTGAATCTTTAAAATGCAAATGGCACCCTAGGTATTTTTCTACTTATGCAGCAGCTTTGTGCCTGAATAAGTTTAATTTCCTTGTACATAAAGAAAAGTCCTCTGTTCAATAAGGGGATTTTAAGCTGTGAAGAGAGAGAGAGAGAGAGAGAGAGAGACAGAGACAGAGACAGAGACAGAGACAGAGAACACTACAGCTACAAGGCTTTTACAGGTGCATCCTGACTATGAAATGTATTGTCACCACTTCCTGCAAGCACAAATGTGCAGAAACACCCAAGCACAGAATAAACTAGCGATGGAAGATGCTGGAACATATTCTCAATCTCTGCTTTTCTCTGCGGCCGACTTTAATTAGTTCCCAGGAAACTTCCCCTTAAAGAAGCAACATTTTATTTATTGGCCCATCAGAGATATAAATATGCACTGTTTTTATGTTCAAATAGGACACATAGGCTCAGAATAAAGCAACCCAGAAGAGCAGCCACAGGCAATTCATTCTGGAACAGAAACCCTATTTCATAGCTGTCATGCATCACAGGAACCTTTAAAGTGAACTTTTCAAACAGAAAAACTCCCTTCTCTGCAGTCAGATAACACATGGTTACTATTCACTTTCATGATATGAAGAAAAACATCATAAAGGCAGCCAAATTAATGATAATTTTTAGAAATCTGTTGCGTTCAATCTAGATGCTCTATCTCTATTAGCACCTATTTTCTGAGCACTTAACTAATGTATTTGAGATGGGTTGAAAAAAAGTACAAATAAAATCCTTTTGAAAACAGGCAGACGCTGGTGTGACACTGTACATCTGTATTTCTATCATTTAGGAGACAGGGGCTAGGGGTTGCAAGTTGGAGGCAAGCTTTGGCTACATAGTCTCAAAATACACAAATAGATAAACAAAACATAGGCATAGGGTTGTATCACCACAGAACTGCTGTTACAACTATGTTGACTATGAAACTGAGACTTGTGTATGTTGAAAATCAACAACAGAAAAACTTTAAAAATAAAATAACCCCGTTTTTCTAATAATCATGTCTAACTACTGTCTTTATTTAGTTCACCAACAAAAATATTCTCTCTGAATGTCATAATCTCTTGAAGTACCTAAGACTTGACAGTAATGATTCACAGTCACTAAGTGAAATGAAGTAATATGTACGTCTCTTAGTTTTCTTGGTAACTAAGTGGGACTATGCTTTAGAAGTGCTACTTTCAGTGGTATAATGGAGCCCCAGGCTCTTGCTGGAAACATGAACCATGCTAATCTCTTGCCCAATCTGAAGTCATTCAACTTCTGATATCAAATTCAAAACTTGATGTTCACCGGGAAGGGAACGTTTACAACATGGAAATTGTACAATGCTACAATCAGCATTCCTTTTCGTGTTTTGAGAATTTAATTTTGAACATTTGCATGCACATCATCGTGTAAAAACAGCACTTTAGAAACAGTGGTTGTGTCTCAGTAGAACAAGGACAGCCAGTTGCCACTTGTGTAGAATGCCACACACAAAAGCAACCCAGTCCACAGGAGAGCATCAGGGTAAGGGGTAGGAGCAGCAGGAAGTAGGGGATGGTCAGGACACTCACAAAGGTCTAAAGCCACAGCAGAAAAGAGAGGGAACGAGGCAAGTGGAAAGCCTGATAACTAAGTAAAGTGGGAGAAATCAAGCAAGTATAAAAGCAATAAGAACCTTCTAGAAAGAAAAACTAAGTACTCATTCAACTGAAATAAAAGAGTAACCACTAGCCTTTCCCCAAATTAACAACACTCACAGGTGAGTCATGTCTAGGTGGAAGTTAAGGTGGGAAATAACAAGGGAGCTAAATAGAGTATGATTGAATATGGGTATACTTCTTTCCCTAATCAGGTAAAAATTAAAAGCAATCAAAATTTAAATAAAAGACACCAAGTCCTAATGTCTTAAAGATTCACACATTGCCATTAACCCTTCACCTGGTATCTTGAAGAATTTCTTATAATATTGTTCATAATATGAAACTTAATTACTTTTAGATGAAGACCTGTGAGATCTCCAGAATACCATCAGGTTTCTGGACATTTTTCTAGTCTGGGCCCTTACAATATGATTGCATCCAGACGAGATAGCAGAAGGAAACCCTCCCTCCCTGCACCCCACCTTCTCTCCCTCCCTCTCTCCTTCCCTCACTCTTCTCTTTCTTTCCCTTCCTACCTTCTTTCCTTTCTTCCTTCCTTCCTTCCTTCCTTTCTTTCTTTCTTTCTTTCTTTCTTTCTTTCTTTCTTTCTTTCTTTCTTTCTTTCTAAGACGACACCTGAGGGCTATAAAATCCAGTTGAAGTTATCTTTGACTTGTTCATTTTTATCTCATATTCTTTAATTTAATTGTCTCTTCTAAATGTTAAAATTAAAAAAAAAATCTGACAGCATTGATGAGTGGTTTTCAGAAGAGAGAGGGGACCTTTTATGTCCACGGTCTTTGAAAGCACATTTTACAACTGCTGCCAGTGCATGGAGGAAACTTTTACCTTAAGAATTCATGGGGTAAGTATTCTGTAATCACAAAGGATCCCTTTAAAGGGATGATTTAATGACTACAATTAACATCTTTATTAATGAAATCATGTCCTTGAGGCTGTTTCAAAGCCATGGATTACTTGATACATGCTAAGTTCATGGCACCCCCCAGCTTCACTAATACTTCCTTTGCTTGAAAAATTGTCTCTCCACTAAACACCTAAGAGACTTCCAAGCTCCATAAGGGTGACCCACAGTTTCTGTGCACATAGATGTGACCTATTCAGATTGTCGTCACATGTGATAAGCTAGAATTTGGAGATGTTTTCCATGTCTATAAAATAATCCATAACATTTGCACTGATAATTATTTTCTAGTATTGAGTTTTAACTTTTCTTATTTCTTTCAGCATGTGAGTTCTGGGAACCAAACCCAGATTATGAAGCATGGACATAAAAAACTTACTCACTGATATGTATTTGCAGTTCTTGTTGCTAGGATATTGTTACAGTCCTATCTTGTAGCATCATGGTTATCAGTGTTGTACATAACAGCTAGACAGTGAGGAAGTAGAATTCTGAGAAAAGAATGATCCTTAAAGATGGGTAGTTTTCTGCATTGTTCTTGATCCATCACAGGTAGGTGAAATATGTGTGTCTAGCACACTTAGAAACGTATCTTGAGTTTTGAGGAGTCCCTGCATTTCAGGGAAATGGAATGAAGTTTTTGAACTCTT